AGCTGAAATAGAAACAAGGGTTCCATGAATTTAAGGAAGAATAGTACTTTTGTTTAATGATCAAAACCAGAAAGAAAACAAATAGGGATAAAATTGATGAATAGGCTTGATCAGGTATGATTACTCTGTCCTTTTAAGACTAAGGAGGTTCCTGATTTTGAGAGATCTGCTGATGGGAAACAGTTTGAGTTGAGCTATTTTCTCTGCTGTATGTCATCGAAAGATATTCTAATATGCTTTTTTTTTTTTGCACTAGTCTAAAAACCTGGGATTTAGCCTCAAGGTTTCTAAGTATGTAACATTTGTGTCATGTTCAATTCTCAAGATACTTCCATTCTCTGAAAAATGAAGAGTTGATCCTTAGCAGACTAGATAGGCTGCTGATGCCAACAGTTTGCAATCTCAGCAGTATTGTAGCTTTTAAATTTGCTTTAACCAATATTGCTATTTTAAAACTTGTATGACAAATAGAACAGCTATCAAACAATAATCTGCTGAGTAATTAAAATTGTTATGCAGCTTACTGTTTTAGTGGATTATTTCTAGACTTCTTAACTGTCTGGTGGAGAAAATTCATTTTAGCCCATTACAAAGCATATTATCTGAAGGATGTGCAATACAGGAAAAGAACATTATGTGTATGTAGCACTCACTCTTGCTTATTTTTACTGTTCTGCTAAAGAGTAACTGGGAAGCAAAAAAAAAAAAAAAAATCGATTCGGTATCCCAGACTGTGTGCTTTTAATCACATGATTCTCTCTTGGGTGTTTTAAGACCTTCACTAAAGTAAATAAAACCTGTGCACACAGAGTTTAATTGAAAGAGACAATGAAGACCTGCACCTGTGAACTGGTGTTTAAAGAAAGTGATGTCAAAGGCCTGAGTCTTTAGCCAGTATAGTTGCTCATATAGAGCAACAAGGGAGAAGTATCTTTTGCAGTGCAAGGTTAGATGGCTTAGCCTAAATCTGCTCATTCATGCTAATGTGCCAGACTTTGCACTGAAATAACTGACAACTGTTCACAAGTTTGGTTTCACCTGCTCTACACTAACGATCTCTGATGTAGAGCTATATATCTTTAAACAGCCACAGGCATTTGCAAAGTGAACATACGACTCCTTTCTAAACACATGGATGGAGTTTGTTAGTTATATTTTGAATGTCCTTATATGTTGAGTGTCCCAGGGTGTCACAAACAGAGCACTGTATTTAAAAAGTTTTTTAAATCTAAATTTTTTTTGTGTTTTATCAATATTTTCCATATTTTTCCAGGATAATCTATAATAAGTGTAGGCTCTTAGGTTTATAATATGCTCAGATTCATATTTTCATTTTGTCAATGCATTGACCTTTAATGTAACAACATATGAGGTAAATGTTTAATAATTATGAATTTGCGTAACAGCAGTCAAGAGGAGATAAGCTGTGCATGACTTCAAAAACACTTAGGTGCCTGTAGAATAGAAATTAGTATCATGGCTCACAAAAAGCTTAAGATTAAAAAAATGCGTGTATTTACTACTGTTGCTTTGTACTGACTTGACAGTTGCTGTATTTCTGAAGTTTTTGGCTGTAAGTGTGCTAAGGTTTGAATGGGAAAAAAGATCTTAGAACTTGCATTCTAAATTACATAAACCCTAATTAAGGATAAAAATCCTTGTGGTTTTTCAAATACTGTTTTCCAAGAAAAGTAATTTTAATGTCTGGCTTAATAATGTTTTTTTTTCCCCTTCAGGAAAAAGCTATCCAATGTGAATTTGTTAACAGCATAGGACTTCTATCCAGACCTTTTAAACCAGAATCTTCAGAAGATATTAGGGTGTGGTTTTTTTTCGTCACCTCCAAATGATGAAAACACTGAAGTCTGGACTTGTTTTTTAATACTTGCTTTTCGTGTTTTGGAAAATCCAGATGTGTAGGTCAGCATTCCCAGGGTTCCACCTGCTTCATCTCCCTTGACTGTGTGATACATTCAAAATTGTAAATTGCTGGTATCTGGTTGAGGTAGGTCCCACCTGTCCATGGCATATGCAAAATTTGTTCATCTCTGGATTTCTGCTTAAGAAGACCCAGCTTCTAGCTGGCATGGATGATCAAAGTCCTGTTGCTGGCAAGGAGGGAGAAAGATGACAGGTACTCTTGAAAATACTGCTAGACTTTAATACTTCATCAAGCATTTCAACATGGTTAGAGGTGATAAAAGTGGGCATTAGTGTTCTGTGTTCCCTATCCACATAGATTATCCTAGAGAGATCAGTGTGCTGTTTGTATGTATGAGCAAGTGAGGCTGCTCTGGAAAAGCCCTAGTGCAGCTGGCCACAGGGGAGACCAGAAGCCTGAGAAAAACTATAGCTTGTGCTGACATAAATGTCTGGCTCTTGCTTTTAATTTCATGGTATAAACAGGAGCAGTGAGAACTGGGAGGATTGACTTTCCTCTTGGAAGGTATCTGTATGCAGGCCTGCAACAGCTTATGCAAGCTGTTGAAGTGTATGGCTGGTATAATATGTTACTGTTGGAAGAAGTAGATCTTGTAAAAACAGGGATCCTGTAAAACCTTGCAAACAGTGAACAGTAGCAAAGGTCACTGCCCATCCACAAAACCATACTTGCATGCAGAAATTGTGTTTATGTATGACAAAAGCAAACAGGTATCCTGCAGCTGCACCCCCCAAAGGACTGGTATTACCACCTCCACTTTGCTTCTTCTGTAGTGCCAATCAGAAAATTGGGTTTGGTTTCAAGTAATACTTTCAGGCAAGAACTATTTTTAACTGATTCCGTATCAGTGGTCCAACCAAGAGTCAAGTGAGTGGTAGTGTTGGCATGGTGATTGGTGGGTAGTGATTGAGGAAGAATACTCCTTAATAAAGTACTGTTGTGGAGGAGAAGATATATGGAAATGGATGTTGAATACCAGTAATAATATCATCTTCACTTTAAGGGTTTAATAATTGTCTCTTACCTTTCTGAATATTGCTAAGTACAGTTGTTTGAATATATATATATGGCAGCCATGTTTGAGTCTATATATGGCAGCCATGGGGTGGAAACCAAAAAAACCTTTGAGCATCTCTGATGTTATATCGTAGATTTCAGATATCTTTTATGTTTTAGGAAGGTCTGAATTTGACATGCCTTATGAAAAGCTCCCCACTTACTTTGTAGTCAGGCTTATGAGTTTGCATAAAAAATACCAAATGAAAAAAGAAACCCAGCCAAAATAACAAAGAAAGAATCCTAACCCAACAAAAACAACAAGAAACCCCAAACAAACAAAACAAGAAAACAAAAAACCCCCAACAAAACCAAAAACAAATTAAAAAAAAAAAACCCAAAAAAAAGGCCACAGTTTAGATCATAAAGCTCTTCTAATGGCGTTATATTGATTCCTAAAAATTGCCATAATTTTAACCTCTTCTTGGTTTAACATAGGCTTATTACTCTTTGATCTCAAGCACTGACTTCCACTTAAAAGTGGAAGGTCTAATTTCTGAACTGCAGTCCCAGAAAGCAAAAAGCCCCACTGTTATTTAGCTGTACTGACTGAATTTGGAACATGCTTCTAAACTGTTAATGGTGTGTATTTTCTTACTTGGAGCAGCAAACAGAGCTGTAGATGTCAGTGGTCTAGTCTGCAAGAGTCATATAAGGATAAGAAGATGGGGAGATAATTTTAAAAGTGCTTATTGATTTGAAATTATAAAGCCATGTTACAAACTACTTTGTTTCAGTGTTATTGTCACTGGCAGTGCAACTCAGTTTGTCAAATTACTCTGCTGCCACAGGGACTGCGAAATTGGTGTCTTCTTTCTGGCATGATTCTTCTTTTCCCCATGCGTTTCATTTTGCAATGCTTCACTCACATTTCAAGCTTTACCTTTAAAAGAAACTATTTGCAAAAAAATTGAAAATACTCAGGTATATCAGGTAGGATTTGTATGTATTAAAATGTTCTAATGTTTTTCTACTGATCTTGTCACTATTCTGCTCTAATACTGCAACCTTCCTCCCCCCCCTCCCCAAGATCTCCAATTAGCTTATTTTGGGTGAAGTTGTGCAGTGTCACTTCCAAAGCATGAAGTGTTCCTAGGTTGATGGATAGCTGGCTTTAATGATCTTGATTCTTGACTGTGGGAAAAGCCAGAAATGGTGTAGGTATAATTTAGATAAAACTCTGGGATGAACTACCTAAATTGAAAACCCTGTCCTCTACACACTTCAGCAAGATCTCTCCATCATCTTAATTTTTTTTTGACTTCAAGGCCTGTGTCAGAGGGTTCTTCTATCTTAGAAGAAGGTCTCATACTGGAGTTGGTATGGCAGTGTGCTTTAACACTGCTCCTTTTTCCTTGGCTCATGGCCTAGAAATGTTGCTCTGTATTGCATTCTTTAATTTGTTACAAAAATCTAGAATGGTAAAATACTAAAATAGGCAAAAAGGAAAAAAAATCTTCAAAGACCGTATGAAATACTTCTCATGGAATATTATATAGTGTTAGTTGTAAAATTAGATCATATTGCAACATTTATTAATTAAGTCATACATCTCATGCCAAGTTTCAGATCATGAGTAGTATTTGATAAAATGATAACAGAACTTGAAAAACTAGTTTTTATGTTTAAAAGCAATACACATCTCAAAACTTTTGACAATCAGAACCAAATTGTTTCAAGTTAGTATGTTTAAGCACACTTTGATGAGGAAGACATTTTGCTTTTTATTATTCTTAGTATAGATTAGTTTGATTTTTAAGTCTTTGTAGACAAGTTTCTGTAAATCAGCACCTTTACTGCAAGTCAAAATTGAAATACATGCAACCATTTTCTTCTGTATTCAAGAAGGGCACACTGAGTTTTAATGTTATAGCAGATGCTACGCAGTAAGACTCTTCAATCAGTCTGGATTGTGGATTCATGAAAATAAAAAGAAGGATTCGTTAGGCCACCTCTCAGAACTGTAAAATGAAAATCAGTTATGGTTTATGTGTCTCTTTAGATCTCATAAATGGAGCCCAAGAACAGTGTGAATTGCCTCCTATGGATGGTTTTCCTCACTGTGAAGGGAAAATAAAGGTAAGTTTTAATCTGGTTTTGATCTTATTCTGTGTGTTCTTCTAAAATCTGAACCGATGTTGCAAGAGGTCAGTGCTCAGACAATGGTGTAAAACAAGAACAACTGTGTCAAAAAGGGAATGTTTAGAAGTATCGCTACAGTATTACTTATCTCAGGCCTCTGATACTACTGCTGCAGAGAAGTGGCATTCCTATTAAGACAGGAATAAAATGCCGTGTTATATTAAATGTGTATTATTATGTATTTATATTATTTATTATTATGTGTTATGTTTTGTGTATTTATGATACTTAATAAAAGGCCTTATTATTTGTATGATATCTTGTTATTCAGAAAACCCTGGTTTTCTTCCTCATTATGAGTCATTTGGCATTCTTCCTACCGCACGACTTGGATTCTGTGTGTACCTCAGTCCAGCTCTTTTTCTGCTTCAGCAAAACATCTGTTTATGCTTCTTTCTCCTCTTTGCCAACAGTGCTGTTGGGTTCCTCTCTTCCCCTGTATTGGGGAAAGCACTCTGCCTCTTCTTGATCACAAGCTAAAGCAACCAGAACTTTGGGGTTCACAGTTACTTCTACATAAATCCTGTATTTTACTAATAATGCAGTTTGAAAAGCAAAATATGGAAAGCCATCAGACTTCAGTTGGAAAAGAAAAAAGCAAAACAAAAGACTTCTTCCCTTTTTCTCCTCCCACCCCAAAAACCAATAAACCCCCCCACAAAACAAAGACAAAAAAATGCAAAACAACAGACTTGATAAACGGAGGGTTTGGAGTTGTTTTTTTTCACCAAAATACATTTCAAATGTAAGGACACTCTTTTAGTAGTAGAGCATGAATGTAAAATGGCTGAATACTTAAATTGCATTACTTAATAATGATACCTGTTTCTGGTAGTGAAAAGAAATAACTACCAAAATGTATGTGAAATCTGTTGCCTTTTTCCTCTAAATAAATTTGTAGGCAATAGTATTTAAAAATCCCCAAACTGTGTCTTAAATCTCTGGTCTGTGTTTTGATCCGTTTTGACAAACTGGCTGCATAGTGACTATGTAATGCATTATTTGAATATTAAAATCTGAATTTAAATTAATAACTTCCTTCTGCAGAAATGACAAATTCTTGGCAGAATCAGGGAGATTTCAATCTTAGTAACTGAAATGATCTGTTAAATTCCAGAGCAAGTGTAACGTGGGGGGGGGGAAACAATGCAGTCAACTCCAGCCACACCCATATGTCTGCACCCTCATTATATTTTCCTTTTGATATTTGTCTCTGCTTGCCTGGATACTAGTTTGTATAAACTGCTCACATCTGGTATGTAGTTATTTTCCCAACATAGCTGAATGCAGAGATTCAGTATGCTGCAAAATGTTAATATAAAATTCCTTTTTTGCTATTTGTATTTTTCATCAAGATGGATATGGTCACTTGCAGCTTTCCCCATTATTTCCGAGTTCCGTGTGAAATAGTAGAGTTATTATGTGATACTTCAATGTAACAGACTGTGGTTTTGTTTCTGTTTCAGTGGATGAAAGATATGTGGCGATCGGATCCCTGTTATGCAAGTTATGGTGTAGATGGGTCCACATGCTCCTTTTTTATTTACCTCAGTGAGGTTAGTAATCTGTTAATCTGCAGAAGGGAAACGTATTTTTGGTAACTGTTTGCAAAATGTTCTCAACAGAAATCATAACTTTCTTTGAAAAAAAATATAAGGAGGAAAAAGCTATTAAAACAGAATTATTATGAAGTGTTTTGCTATTAATCATATGTCCTCCAGGGGTTTCTAGCCTGGAGAATTCTAATGTTTATAACTGATGTAAGTAGCAACTCTCCAGGGAGTCCACACTGGGTATCCTGTTAAACCCAAGTATGAAGCTCAGTCATAGTCATTCTTGCCTCTGCACATTTTTTCTGTTGCTTTCAGTGCAGTTCCTAGGGTAGTAGTAGGGGGAGGCATTTGGGGGGGGGGGGGGGGGCATTTGGAATGTAAAATTTGGAAATTAGAACTAAATGAACCGTAGAACGTTCTCTGAAGCAGCATGGCCACTTCCTGCTTGGAGACTGTTCATGAATTGCAGAGTCTGTTGACAGAAAACAAAAACCCCACGAAAGTCCCATTTTTTAATGAAGTAGCACATATATTGGCTAAAGCTTTTGGTACCTGTCAGAACCAAAAGCCCAGTTCCGTACACAGCTGAGTAAAGTTCATGCCCTGGTGGGTTTTTGTACAGATTCTGTTTCCTGTGTAACACTTTTTTTCCAATAATGAATTTTGTCAATCAGTTATTATGAGCTCCATTGCTGGCTTGTAGTGTTTGTGCCAGAAAGTCAGGTGTATTTGATCACTTGACCTCTTATTTTGTATTACTAAAATGTTGATAACTTATAGCAGCTGATCTTGGAAGTAGTATTGATACCTAGTAGCTTACTATTTGTAAAGAACAGCAGGAGCCAGTATGGCTTCTGAATTGCAAACTGATATTAATTTTGCAGTTTCTGCAGGATTGGGGGGTGGGGCTCAGATTTTAAATTACGTATCTGAGATTAAAACTATAGGTCTACTAGATAAGTAACTCTGTTGTAATGAAAGCAGTTTCTGTTAATTTACTCAGTTGACTGTCATGAACTTTTCTGGGCACACTGCTTGAAGCAGCAGTAATAGTTAAATGCATATCAAAACCATGTATCTGAAGAAATAATAAAGGCTGAGTTGAATCACAGATTTGACTCACTCCAGTGCTAGTACCAAGTGTTGATCTGTTTATGGGCTATGAAGCTGGGGAAGGAAAAGATACAGTATGACTATATTATTTATCTTGTTATTTATCATAAAAGCTACAGATATGGTTTTGAAATAATCTGAAATTGACCTGAGTTTCAGCTAAAAGGTTATGTTTTATCATTAGTGGAGTTACATTTGTGCATTAGTATTCTGTCAGCCAGCAAGTGCTTTGTGTTTTTAATGCAGATGTATTTTAGAGATAAAGATACACGTCAGCTGAATGTGAGAATCTAATATTCTTAAATGACATCTGTTATTTTGTATTTCTGTATTAAAATCACAGTGTCTTCTGTAACAATCGCCTCTGATCATAAATTTTGAAAACTCAGTTGATGATCAGTTTAGCTCATCCTCATGGCAAAATCGAAGCAGATTTATAGAGGCCAAATGGTTGGTTTTTTTTCTAAGAGTCTAGGGATTTAAAATTTTTCTTTAAGCGGCAATACTGAATTTGGGCAAATTCTCATTTCATGATGGAACAATAGAACAGTTAGTCTATGTGTATATTTACAAACTTCAAACAAGAGTCTTGTACTTTTTTAAAGTGTTTTCCTATGACAGAATGTAAAAGTAATATTGGGTGAGCATGTTATTAACCTTAAGTTTAAATTTGGCATTCTTAATCCTATGATTAATGCCCAGCAGCAGAGGTTGAAAGCTTAAATGTTTGCGAATACAAGCATGAAATGAAATTCTAATAACACTACAACGATGGGGATTTATGAGGTGTGTTGGCTGCTAAGGATAACTTGGAAATGCTATTGCGAGAGTAATTTGTCAAAGTGGACAATGATGAAGAGTTGACAGTTTATACTATGGTTGCTCAGCTGAATGATAAATGTGTCTACAGAGCTCTCAAGTCAAAACTGCTGATTTAAAATATTAGAATGCATTAGGGTGCTGGGAGGATATTATGGTTAAGATTTTTCTACTTTAAAGTTACAGTGTAGGAGTAAGATGGTTGTGTGCACATGCTTTGTTTGAAAAGGCAATATATACATAAAATTATGCGCAACTTCTGTTTGAAAAGACAGAATATGCATCAAATTGTGTGTATACCTACTTTTGCTCTTGAAACTGCCTCTTAAGATCTAGTGTGACAAGTGCCTGTGCTCTTGCATACTCTTTCGGGATCTACTTTTTTTCTTCAGAAAGAGTTCAGTTAGGATATTATGTTACACTCACCTAGCACTCTTTGTAATACAATTTTAAACTTGTAAACAGAGCAGCCTGAAATAATACATCTTGATATGGAATATGGGTCAGGACCACAGAAATACAAAGTAACTTGTCCACAGTTTAGTCAAAGGTTTAGAAATAAAACCCAGTCTTCAGGTATCTGCTGTGTCCCTGTTTTGTTTCCACCCTGTGTGTCTGCAAAATAGAACGTCACAGTCAAAATCCATGCTGCCCCAAGTAATCTCTTCTGAAGAGCCTGCACAAGTGAAAGTGTTAACAGTTCTGCCTCCTGTAGTTTGCTTTGGATGGCACTCCTACAAGAACGCAAGAACAACTAGCTGAACAGCTCTTCTCCACTTCTCTTGTGTCTTGGCTGCTTGAGCAGAATGGGAGGTGAGTGTGGCAGTAGAAGGAAAGTGAGAAGCAATCCAGCAATTCAGGCTTACGTTTTTTTTATTTAAAGCTCTCACCTCTACAGACTTGCAGATAAAGCTGCAAGAATTTTCACACTTCCATCTTGAAGTTTTGCTGAAGGCACAGGCTCACTCCTGGTGCATGATGTGCAACTGTGCAGTCCTCATAACACTAATTGTGCTGGAACCTTTGAAGACTGGAGGAAACAGAAATGGCCTGAATAGTAAAACCAGACTTATATTCTTTTAAATAACAGGGAAGACAGGAATTAGAAGTAGAAAAAATTGAAAAGCAAGTTAAGCTAAGGTTTCTGTATAGTTGGGACTGTTTCCATTTAACTGTGATACAGACTTGCCCATGGAAAAGACTTGCTTCCTATAAACTCAGCATTTAGTTATGAAAAATACAGTTGTTTAACACTGTAATGTCACTGGTGCAGTTATAATTTTCACAGATGGCATTGCCTCTGGAGAGAAATGTGAAAAAATTAATTTCTAGACAGTACAAAAATATATTTCACTGCAAAATGTCAGTTTGCAGCTGAAGAATTAAGCTTTTAAAAATATCTTCTAGCAAATGAATTTTTCACAGTTTCCCAGCTTAAGGAAAAAGAAAAAGAAAGTGTAGGTGTCTTATTGCTCCTCTTCTTTATCTAGACATGTGCTTTCTCTGACGGCTTTCACTGCCTGCCACACAGGAGTGGAACTACTGCTGTGCTTGCTGGTCAGCCAGCAGCTGTGATGCAAGCTACCACTGCCCAGAGGTCACTACATGGATGCTGGAGCTGGGCAGATCTTACTAAAATCCCAGTCTTTGTATCTCTGGTTGCCTTTCAGGTGCAAGGGTAATTTCTGGTACCCATCTTGGAAGCGGATCCAGCATTTCAAAAGACTAAAACAATTTCAAAGACCAATCTCTAAAGCTCCTGTAGCTTCTGAGTGTGTACTAGTATGCCATTAGAGAGAATTCTTGTTTTGAGTTCTTCAGACTTGATGGAAATAGGATCTATGGTTTCATTGCAGGAATATTTTTCTTTATGCTATTTCTTTTGCTTTGAGGGATAAAGCAGAAAAATATAAACTGAAGGTGATTTTGAGTGTGGGTTTGTTTCTAGAAGGCAAGCTGTAGTCTGTGGCATACTTTAGTGAAAACAACTGGGAATTATAATTATACAGATTCCCTAAATCCTTGTGGGTTTGCTTGTTTAGTACCATTTGCTCACATCTGTGTGGAAGTCCCCTTTCCACAACTTTTGCTGCTTGTGTAAACTATTTTCTGATATTGAGGTAAGTTAATCATAAAATCATAGAATAGTTAGGGTTGGAAAGGACCTTAAGAACATCAAGTTCCACCCCCCGCCATGGGCAGGGACACCTCGCTCTAAACCATATCACCCAAGGCTCTGTCCAACCTGGCCTTGAACACTGCCACGGATGGAGCATTCACAACCTCTTCGGCAACCTATTCCAGTGCCTCACCACCCTAACAGGAAAGAATTTTCTCCTAATATCCAATCTAAACTTCTCCTGTTTAAGTTTTAACCCATTACCCCATGTCCTATCACTGCAGTCCCTAATGAAGAGTCCCTTCCCAGCATCCCTATAGGCCCCCTTCCGATACTGGAAGGCTGCTATGAGGTCTCCATGCAGCCTTCTCTTCTCCAGGCTGAACAGCCCCAACTTTCTCAGCCTGTCTTCATATAGGAGGTGCTCCAGTCCCCTGATCATCCTCGTGGCCCTCCTCTGGACTTGTTCCAAAAGTTCCATGTCCTTTTTATGTTGAGGACACCAGAACTGCACAAAATACTCCAGGTGAGATCTCACAGGAGCAGAGTAAAGGGGCAGGATTACCTCCTTCAACCTGCTGGTCATGCTCCTTTTGATGCAGCCCAGGATACGGTTGGCTTTCTGGGCTGCAAGCGCACACTGCCAATGGCTTGCATTTCTTCAGTGTTGTGTAGCATTAAACCAGCTTCTTTGAATTCTGCTTAGAAAATTTACAAAAATAGTATTGTCTCTAAAGCAGCAACAGCTTGAACTTCTTCAGTCATCTTATGTAAGTCTCTAAGAAATTTAAATGCTAATGATAACCAGCACTTTGTCCCCAGATCATCCATTAGTGTATTGGCCTGGATCTGGGTGATTTGGGCTTAGTTATCTTTTCTACTTCTGTCACTTTAAACTGGGATTAGTCTGTCTTTTTGGAAAAGGCGTAGATGCTAGTGTAAGAGAGGAATC